TTATATTAATATTTAGTTATAAAAAACTAATAAACATAAAAACTAACAAAAGAGAAATAGCCAAGTATAATTACATAGAAGTATATCGATAAATATAAAAACAAATACAACAATGAATACACGATACAGATATCGATTACACAGTGTATTCGGTGAATATATCGATAAGTGATAAGTATAGTGGGTGATATGAAAAGTCTGTGCGGATTTTTGGCAAACTATTTTGTAATTTTCTTTATTGAAAATCAATTTTAATCAAGTACATATTGGCCATTATTATCTATGACCTTTAGCCATTTTCAGGTAGCTTCATAATTCCAGTGGTGTGGAAGTTTATCTTTGATTTATCGCCGAGAAACTTGTCCAAGTGAGATGCGGTCGGCCAATTTTTTAGCTTAAAGAGATGGGAATTGTGCGGTTGTAATTTTTATTAACATTGTTTTGGTTTGACTCAGTAAGTAACATTTATTAAGCAACCCAGCATTGAGACTTCCAAACCAAGCTACGTCAATATATCTTTAGTTATCAGGAATTTGTGTGACACCTTTTTTGTTTGCCAAATCTGGTCGCTCTTTCCTGATTGCTTCACTCAAAACAGTCGAGTTATGCACAATTGATCATTTCGCTACATTGTAGTAGTTCAATGAAAAATTCCCTTCCAAGTCCATCAAACACCCAGCAAAACTTTGTTTGGCTTCAATCCCGGTTATCGGTCTTTGGCCATGGTCACTTGCGTTGCCTATTCTCGCATTCAATCCATTTTCGATTTCGTTGCATTTGAGCACAGTTTCACAGATGGCAATTCAGATTGTCAATCAGATTTCTTTGTATTAATCCATGTGGCAACCCAGGCATCGAGCTTCTTTGAGTAGCCTGCTTGTTGTTATTAAACCATCATACAAATCACGCAGAGAGTTGTTGGAAAATGATGCTCGAGTGGCAGTCCTTGGCCAGATATTAATCTGGTTTGTTCCGGTTAAAGCTCAGTTAGTCTAGACTTATTTAACTTAATTTAACTTACCGTAAGAAATCATCAATGATTACTCAACACGTCAACTGAAGCCAGAAGTGGAAATATTTTGTTTTTGTATTTTCTTCTTCACCTCTTTGACAGTTTGACGCCTAAAATGCCACATCCAAAAAGTGCAGGCAAACAAATGTGTTTGCGTACATTTATTTTTGAGAAATACAAAAACGAAAATCTGGCAAGCCTGATTCTCTCACCGCTCTCAATTTCCGTAAGGCCGTAAATTAAGAATCTAAAATCAACAGGTTCTTAAGTTACTTGCGGTAAGTTAAGTTTTAACTAAGCGCCAACACAGTTTTTAATATTACAGGTTGCCCAGAACATTAAGTTAAGCTAAGTTACGGAAATTAAGTCTACACTAACTGACCTTTTTTGTAGACCCAACTGTCGTAGGAATGTGATTAGTCTGCTCTCTTTAGATGAACCCAACTCATTTTCAAATTAATATAAATTTTTGCACAGAAATGTCTTCACAAAAATGTAGCCTGATATGTCAACTTTCAAACGCACGTCAGTTTGACGCAACTGGATTAGTGTTTCCGCATCAACAACACATGGTGACAAAAGTCTGCAGAAACTTTTTATACGACCCTATATATAACGAAAATGACTATTGTAGATATTTCGTTTGATAACTGTTAACTTTTTATTCATCTATTGATTCGAAATATTCCCCCAGAATCGCAGATATCGCTTAATTGTGCTTTTTGTTTTACTCATGCGCTTATAGTACAAATATACAGACGAATATTTATGCGCGAATTACATGGGCTTGATTACCAATTTCAATATGCTCAATGCTCCGACATATGTACATACATATGAACATTAGGGTATATCACTCTCAAAAAAAAAATCGGTACGTTTTTTCCATCGGAAATAAAAAATGTATTATATTTTAAGACTTCCGCCAAAATATTGCGGAAAAATATTAAGCTTAACGTGGGCTGAGGCTATTTGAAACTATCTCTAAAAAGCGTTTTTTTATTGAGAAAATTAGTTTTTAAAACTATTTTTACTGAAAAATCACCTCATTTGATAGACAGATTTAAGCTTAAAAGGTTTGCTTACGGATGTTTAAAAATTGTATCAACGGAAACAAAATAATTCGATTTTTGGAGGTACCTTCAAATGAGTGCAGCTCATGTAAATCTTAATATTTTCCTAAAATATTTTAGCGGAAGTCTTCAAATATAATAAGATTAATATTTTCGATGTAAAAAACCGCAACTCTTTTGGTGATGCACCCTAACGTACATACATGTATCCCCTTTTACACTAAAGAAAAAAAAAACAATATTTTCCAATCAACCTCTTTGTGTTCATTCTCCACAGATGCGTGGTAAACGCCTGAATGGCTCCGCCAACTCGGCCAAATTAACAAAGCTGAATGCCAACACACGTTACCACATCTGCGTTATTGGCACCGGTAATTGGTTGTCCGAGCCTGTGGCGAATGCCTTGCAAAGGATACACTTTAACGACTCATTTCTAATGTTACGCGATGAGGCAGCTTCGAGTGGCGGTAGCGTTGGCAGCGCTTTTATTGCAAGTAATCAGCAGCAACACTACTACCACGATCAACAGCAACAGCAGCAGCAACAACAGCAGCAGCAGCAGCCAGCCGAATATTATGAGCAATATTTTCAAACGTATCAACAACAACACCACGACCACCAGCAATTATTCACGCAAGCTGAACCGCAACAACAACAGGCATTAATCGAAAACACCATCGTCACGGACAATGCACTGCGGGATGTGTTGAAAAATTCGCACATCACCACTTGTACGGACGTACAAACACTCGATTCGACACCAGCCTGGTCACCGACGAGAATGGCCTCTCGAGCAACGGCTTCATCCATTCGATACTGACACGACGCCTGGGCCTGATTGTTGGCTGCTGCCTGGGCATCATTGTGTTTATCGTCATGATTTCGAGTATTGAGTTATGTGAAACTGAAGAAGCAGCGCATCGAAAACGCCAAAAGACAGGCCGCCATGCCACCCGAATACATTTCATATCGACACTTTTCCATACCGAATGAGGAACTGGTGCGCGCATCCGTGGCCGGCGGCATTACCACAACGATTTCGAGCGTCCCAAGCGGCATTAGTGCGCACATCAGTGGCACTAGCCTCAGCACTAGCGCAGCCAACAGCCACAACAGCGACTACGCCACTCGGTGGCAATGGCAGCGATAGTAAGGGTAGCGGCGGCACAACAGCTACAGTAACATCCGCCACCAATACGCTGAAGAAGAAAAGTGAGATGAACGTAAGTACGCCTGTTGGTGTGGGGATGATCGTTGCCGAAGGCAATGGCTTGGTGAATTCGACCTCAGCCACCACAAAAGCAGCGGGCAATGATGTCGTCAGCGTAGCGGCAACGTTGACTCAAACAGCGACAACCGTAGAAGCATCAGCGACAGCGAACAACCACAATCACCATGCGCATCATCAACATCAGCCATTGCGGCTCCTGCAACAGCGGCAGCAGCAACAGCAGCAGCAGCAGCAGCATCATGGCAATCACCATCAACATGGTGGTGGCAATGGCGGCGTAGGCTATATGTCGTCTGGTGTTGTTTTGGGCGCCAATCACTTGAACGCTTGTTAGTTGCTGCGGCATCGTGACTCACTCTAATCGATGATTTTCCGAAACTTTCTTTAGGCGATCAATTTATTTTTTAAGGTCTACTTAAAGCGTACATAATCGCAACTACATACATACTATGTACATGCATAACTACATAGTAGTTGTACGAGCAGAAAGAAACCTTAGGCTAAGTAAGTAAGTATAACTGTAAACTGTAAATAAGTATAAGTAATGTAGAGGGAAATGTTGTTAATGAAAATGGCGCACCAACGGCGATATACATACATACGTAGTTGTTGAGAGGATTTGGATAGTCAGTAAATGATATGCGCAGTGTGGTGCGGTGTACATATAAATTTGTTTAAATTGACTTGGTCTGTTGTATTTAGCTTAGTTAAAAATCTGTTAGGCAACTCGATCTAAGTTTAGATTTATGTAAAATAGATAGGCTGAGATTGAAACCCTTATCTTTTGGCTATAGTACATTCAAGAGATTTACCTTACACTCACACGAACGCACAACTACATAAATGTTGCTTAAATATTTATGCAGAATAAAATAATTCTCTAAGTAAATTTTATTAGCACATAGTATGTAATATAGGGTGATCCATTTGCATTTTTATTTTAATTTTAAACAAAACACTTGAAACAGAAATGTATGCCGGAATCTGTATTACTACCCAAAAGAATAGAGATTCACGTTTTTGTTTACTAGGTTGCTACTGGTTTCCTTATAACCAGTACTTCGGCCTGGAAAATTCTGCAGTAGATCAGCAGCTTATACAATTTGTTGAAACCGAACTCCGCGCAGACGACTGCCACCCCAACGCCTTTCTCCATCTTCGACCCATCTGTGTAGACATTCGGCGAGCCAGCACTCCTCATGCTCTCACGCCAGACCCTCTTCCTATCAGCCAGCATATCGAGCTCTTCGTCACGCTTGTATATCGAACACTTTGATTTTATTGCGTAAAATATGAACGTGTGGTTCGCTCTTCAGCTCCCTTTATCGATTACGAACAGCTCGACGTGTTATTCTTTATCGTATCAGTTGTTCTTTAGGGCTTGCTGGAATCTCTTCGTTGTGATTGCAGTTTTTTGACATTGAGCTGTTCTTGTATTGCTGGGCTCTTTTTTTGATGAGTGTTCGGTCTGTACCTTGACAGTTCTCCAAAATTATTCGTAGTGGTTGTCATGAAATGTAGAAGGTCTCGACCGAAGCAGATACTCCATAGCGTACAACCATAAACTGGGGCAATTGTTGAATATACATTTATACCCGCTTATTCCTGGACAGACAGGTGCTCGCTTGCAGCCACGCCTCATGGTAAACCAGACGCTGCACACTTCTGTGGGCTCTTAAACCGCATATGTCGAAGTGGCGCCACAAAAGCACGCTCTCTCACTGCCGTGGCCCAATACTCCACATGGGTTGGTTACCAAACATCGCACATGGATTTGCCAGCGTCGGGTTTGAGTACAGTAAAATGTATAAAAGTATGCACCTATTGTGAATTTCTAAGTCAAGTTGAAAAAATATGGTTTACTTTTCAGAGTACGTTGTGGATTTTGTGATAAGTTGCTACAGATTCTTTAAGTATATACTTTATTCTTGATTCCAAGTAAGTTACTACCAGCAGGATGATATCATTCAAAAATACCCGATAAATATTTTGTTGCTAAAATTCTACGGAATAGTCTATTTGATAGCCCCCCCACATCAAAAACCAATACATACTAGATTCGAAAAATTAAATTTAATTATTTAAACTAAATATACAGTATTGGTCAATACAGTACCACCCCCATTTCAAATTAATATTGTTTGCCAGTCATGTTTATTTATTTTTAGGAATGTTCAACTAAAACACATTTTATTCTCTAATGAAACTCATATAAACCCAAGTTTAAAAGTTTTTAAAATACTACAAAAAAACGCGACAAATTTTCACCCAGATTCCAACTTTTTTCTCAGAAGTGTTAGAATTTTTTCGAGTACGCACTTTTATAGCCATTCATGTATGTATGCTTTTATATATTAATAAAAAATATACCCAAGGTAAATAAGAGATAGGTTAGTGATTTTTTTTTATGGAACACAATAAGGATTTATTATTAGTAAAATAAAAAAACGAATTGTAAATAACAACCTAAGCAACTCCTTTNAAATAAATAACTGTTAAATAAAAATAAAAATTTATATTAAGTTTTTTATAGTGCCAAAAGGGATTATTGCATTTTATTTCTTTTAAGCCCAATTACTAGCTACATATATGAAAAATAAGACAAAAACCATAACAATGATGCCGAGAGAAAAAGGTGCGATAAAATAGTTAATTGTAAGCAAATTACGAGGAAACCTTCAAAAACAAAAACTGACTAACGGGTCAATAAATAGTAAGTGCATAAGAATTTACGTAGTATGCGCACGAAAAAAATATTTATGTAATTATAATTTCTATGCAGGCCTAAATATACATACATGCATACACAATAGGTGGTCCTTAAAAAAAATCAACATCTACATTTTATATGGAAAGCCAATTTGTTTTGTTCTACTTGGAAAATATAGACATCCGCATAAATTTCAAACTAAAAAATAAAAAAAGGTTTGAAAAATGTAATTGTTTTTTAAAAAGGTAGTGTGGAAATTTCATGGATTACTCAACTATATTGTAGCGATGGTTAATCAACTTTAAAGCCGAATATCTCAAGATTTTCGACGTTAGCCATTTGGAAATTGAATTCCCTACAAGTTTGTCATTTACCTCTTTTCTGTAGCTCTTGCTATTTAAGAGGTATGGGCAAACAAACGGGAATTTCATGAAAAATTGGGCTTAGGACTACTTCGAATTGAAAAAAAATAGTCACGAAAAAGCACCTCACTGAGTTATAGCTGGTCAAAATTAAAATATTTCGAAGTTTTGCGATTTAAAAAGGGAATTTTTTTTTAACTTTCGTGGATGTCTGTATTTTTTACCTAGAGCAAAATGAAGGGGTACGCCATTATGTTGGTACACCTACACATACTCATACGCATACATACATACATTCATGTAAGTAAACAAAAAATGAAGGGCGACAAGCAGGCCAAAAAGGCCTCAAAATTATTAAATAATGATTGCAATTAGAATAGAAAAAAGCTAAGCAAATATTTAAGTAGACGAAAAAAGCTAAACTAAAAAAAAAAACTAAAAAAATATTAATTAAATAAAACAAATAAAAAAAATGCGAAAGTAAACACTCAATGAGTTTCATTTGATAAACGAAATTTTTAATTCAAACAACCACATAAAACTAATTTACAAATATTTATAATTTGCTTAGAAATTAAGCTTTAGTGAATCAGCAAAACAAACCGTAGATAAATCATGAAACAAGAAAGCAAATGGTGATGCGAGCATTTAGTACTCGTCTGCAGTAAATCAAAATCCCAAAGAAAATACACAAAAAATAAAAAGCCAAAAATAACTATCAAGAAACCAACATACATACGTACACACACATAAGAAAACACAAATACATAGAAACATACATACATACATATATGCATACAAACATACATAAATTAAGGCGATTAATGCGCTTATGTGCTCGAAAAAGTGAAAAACAAAAGAATTAAATAAGTGAAAGAAAACATTTGAATATGCAGTGAATTGCAAAAATAACCAAGCAAAGCAAAATCTATACTAGATAATAAATCAAAGAAATCTCTACAACAAAAATTTAAATATGTAATACAAAAATCGAATGAATTTAAAATTTGGTATCATCCGTTGGTTTTATTTTACAAATTTTAACACCATAACAAAAGTGTTTTTGTTCTTTAGCAACAAAACTAACGCATACACAGAACGTAATTATTAAAACCGCAAACTGAATTTACAGAGACAAACGTATGTATGTACTACGTACAAGTACAATGTACATTCGATAATGTTTGCCTCCATACAAATAACCAACTGAATCATGTAATGCCAAATAATATATGGACTACATATGTATGTTCATATGTGTGCTAAAGCTTCTGGGCATGCAACAACAAAATACAAGCAAACCCGAATACAAACAGAAAATCAAAAATCAAAAATAACAATTAGTTTATATAGTAAATAAGTGACAAATGCTGCATTAAAAGAGGAAAATTATAATAAAGAAATTATTATACAAAGATACGATTAAATGTTTTATTATTTTAGAATGAAGAAAAGAAGAAAAGTATCCCAAAGAAAGTAAGTATAACTACAAAAAAGTTACAATCCAAGCAAAGTGATGGAAATAAGCCCAATTATAATAAGCAAACTGAACTTTTTATACCCCACGCACGAATTCTTAAATTCGACCGTTTCTGTGCAATTGTGAAAATTTCCATTACTATTTTTTCGTCCGATTTAAAGAATTTTTTTGTTTTTGATTAATTAGAACCAAATCAATGTTTAAACCACGTTTGGAAAAGATCGATTAACCCGTTACCAAGTTTTTACAAGCCTTAAAATAATCTCTAATATCAAAATCTCAACACTTCAGTATTCCTATTAATGATAGTGAAATTACATACTTTTTTCTATTTGAAAATACACCGTTACATGTGAGGTTGCCATGACTATTATCCGATTTCAAAGATTTGCAGCATATTACCTATTTAGACAAAAAGCAATACGCCTACTGAATTTGGTAAAGATTGGCAAAGCGGTTATTAAAGTATAAATCGAGCCTTAACCGCCAGCAAGATGTAACCGATTCCTTTTTTTTATTTTCTTTTTGGTGCAGAAATATTGCTAGAGCACCTAGATATATCTGCGTCGAAAATAAAAATAAAAATAAAATAAAAATTATATATCATTAACGTCTTTTGGCGGTTAGCTTCTTTATAAAATATTATAAGTATATCAATTTTAAGCAATTTGGTTCCATTGATCACTAAAATATCAAAGATTTTCCCGATTTTAAAAAAATCTTCCCGGCCCACGATGCAGAGTGGTTAAAAATTTGCATTTTGTGTTCACAATTCGCTGGAGCCGTAATTTTTCACTCAATTTGATTAATTTGTTTTTGTTTTTTTTAAATAAAACCTAATATAGCTTGCAAATGGCCCGATTTTTGAATGTTTGTTTGTTTGTATTCATTTTTTTATTGCAAAATGCAGAAAATGTAGAAAAAGTAGCAATTTAAAAAAAAAATATTCTCCTGTTCCAGTTAATAAATGTATGTAACATAAAATAAAATAAAAATAAAAAAGTCACCAAAATTAAAAAAAAAATTTTGAGTTTTTAGAAAAATGTTGGGTATATAGTTTTATAGATCATTCAATTTTAGTAAAATAAAGTGACATTGAGTTTTGATAATTTTTTTTTTCGCTAACATTTCTAGCGTAAAAGTGGACGCGAAGTCTTAGCCACTTTCAACTTGCACTTTGTTAAATTAAAATTTAATGATCTATAAAACTGCATACCCAAAATTTGTAGAAAAAGGAAAAAAATAATTTTGGTGACAATTCTTTTATAACATTTAAAATTTTTTATTTTGGGTGAACACTACAATTGTTTTCAACTAGTTTTTATGTAACAGTTATAAACTGGAACAGGAGATTCGATTTTCTTCAAAATTGATACTTTTTCTCCTTTTTCTGCACTTGGCACTAAAAAATTTAATACAAAAAAACGAGAACCCATTCGTAATTGGCATTCATTAG